GGAGGGGGGAGGAGGAGGGGGAGGAGGCCAGCAGCTTACGTTGTATCAGCCGAGCATTATTGAAAGAGAGTCGCGCACTCGGGGCTGTAAATCTAGCTGACGTTTATTCACGGCGAGTCTGGAAAACCGGAGCGGCACGTCGTGTTGTTGTTGTTGTTGTTGTTGTTGTTGTTGTTGTTGTTTGCTGTGTTTGCGCGCGAGCACGCAGCTCTGGAGCAGAATTAGAAAAAGGGGCGCGCTCGCTCGTTACGGGGAGGGAAGCCAAACGGATGAGAATAAGAAGGTGAAGGAAACAAAACAGAAACAAAAGGCGGGGTGTGTATGAACCTTTCACCCACACAATACACACGGTGAGCCCTGAGTTCATCTCATGAGCGAAAAGAACCAAGATTCAAACGGCTGTTTGATACGGAATAATTTTTTTCGACATTTTTTCCCCCTTTCAAGTGTGGCAGTGAGACGAATCGGCATCACGGTGATAAAAAGCTCCAACTAAGATAAAATTCATGTCACTATTGTATTGTAGCAAGCGGTCAGCGTCGAGCAACGAGAAGCGTACAGTATATCTTAACTACTCACAGAAAAAACAACGTGGCCGCACTTCGCAAGGGTTATTACTGCCGTTTCGGCGGTGTCGCCGAGGCCGGGTCGAGGGTGGGTCAGACTGTTTGGGGTTGCACCGGGGCGGGGGAGGGGAGGGAGAGGAGCGAGGGGAGGAAAGGGGCGGGGGTATGAAAGACGCGAGTAAACAAAAGAGGTTGCGGTGTGAATAAATGGGTCAAGGTGGGTGCGGTGGTGTCTTTTACAACACTTAGTGCGTGATCAGTAATAAAAGCAACACACATACGCACGACACAATAGTTATGGAAATTCAAAACCAACATAATAAAAGGTTAGGATGGGTATTAACCCTTTTCGAAACATCGGAATGAGCTTCAGCGGGCAAAGTAAAGGGGGAGCTAGAAAGAGAGGGAGGGAGAGAAAACCGAGACGGGTGGAGAGGGTGAGCGTCGCGTGCTGCCCGAGTGATTCTAAAGCGATTTGGCGGCCCGCTCGCGGTTGTCCGTAACCACCGGATTATAAAATGACAACATCCCCCTTCTCCGCGCCATGAATGCCAACGACACGCCCCTGCGCTCAGAGAGAGAGAGAGAGAGAGAGAGAGAGAGAGAGAGAGAGAGAGAGAG